CTGCGTGGGGCGTATTTTGCCCCCATGATGGCCAGTTTGCAGCCTAGAACCAAGTTAAAGCCCGATTGCAGCCATTGGATATGACTGATCAGCCGATGAGTATTCGGAGCCAATGTGAAAAAGTAATCAAAGAATTTCTTTGCTTCGGTCATGCCGCGGTTGAGAAATTCGACCTGGAAAGGTGATAAGTCTAACGGTTGGTGGCCACTTTTGAGGTGTGGTGGTAGCCCTGGGTCTGCATGGGAGCGAGGCGCGGGCGAAGCCGAATAGTTGGCTGTTTCATGTTTTTCAAATAAGCAAGCCTGGCATAGAAACAATTGAAGAGTGTGTAGTTGAAATTGAAAGAGGGCTAAACCGTGGGCCGTGAGTTAGCAATAGTTTCAGCGTAATCAATCAAACTCACAAGCGGTGTCACTTACAATTTTCCGAAGGCGTTGCCGGCAAGGTCGTTCTGTATTCGTTGATTTCGATTTGGAATGCATGCATATCAACCTCTCGTACTGGATTCGCAGTAGTGGCCACAGCGTCATCGATCCGTTCAAAGATTTGTTGTAATTTTACTAATTGTACTAAGCAGCGATCACTGGCAATCTCAGCATTGGATAGTAATCCAAGTGCATGCTTTTCAACATAGGACAGCCGAGTCATCATGCGATCCTTTTGCAACATTGTCGAGTGACTGCAGACACCCATACCTAGTCAGTAATATGAGGGGGATATGAGCATTGTTACTGACCATGAGGATAGCATGTAACATCCAATCAAAGCTCGTCTTCTCTCGTTCACCGAATGTCTACTACTGTTTTCATCTGAAGAGACCTTGCTCATAGCCATCCGTGAATAGTATGAATGGATTTCCGACAACCGGTCAAGCCGCAAATCACCGACGATACTCCAAGCAAGATTAATGTAGCTGCAAAATCTTTCATGCTGGGACTGATGCTGCAACCTGGGATATTGAGGCTTTGAGTCAGTAGTGTCATCTTCAATAAAACCACTTTGGATTAGACTCACCATGCCAAAGCCACAAGAAGCCCCAGCAATAAATCCATAGATGGATTATGGGCGAAGATCATCTGATCAGCAACTGCTTTTTGAAATGTCTCTTCCAATATCTGCTGGGAGGCTGCATTCTTGTATGATGAGACCTTGAGGATAGCCAGCAAGAGAAGCGGTTTCTCTGCTCGCAGCTGCGCAAGCGTCACTTCCGGTGCGATATAGATAAAAGGGAAAAATGGCATCAAGGTTTCTCGAAAAGATTCAAGAATCGTGACAGCATCATCAAATCTCACGATCCCGCGATCAATAACATCTCGGGGTTTATCCGGGATGGAATGAGGTTCTGGGTCAGGCAGGACTAAAGGAACATCAGCCTGGTGTTTAGTGTGCTGATTATTGACGACTTGAGCTAAGAGCTGATCCACTTTGGCTTCGAGAGCCTCGACTCGTCTGATTTTTTAAGCTTCCGTCAGCTTGGATTCACAGTCACGAATCAAATGGGATTTGGGAGCCTTACGTCCCCTTCTTAGCGGGGTTGTAACGAGGTCGAGCGGGCCGAAAATAGCACTCTTTACCAAGGCGGCGACATCTGAGCTCTTATATTAGCATATGGTTATAGTTGAGAATAAACATGATGTTCGAGTTCCACTACTTGCCGATCACAGATAGAGGAATCCGAAGTTCGGATACATCTGATTTTGCCACGAGCACAATTTTGACATGTTTTGATGTGTCCTGACATAGATTCCATGTTCCAAATTGGTATAGTCACGGTGAAAGGAGCATCAGGACGAGGCGAGTTGAAGAGGATAAGGATAAGGACACGGACAAGGACACGGACACGGACAAGGATACGGTCGAAGGGCAAAAGTCTTGGCATCGGTGGCCCGCCAGGCAACGGCTTTACTAGGGATCCACTACATCGTATCAATCTTGATGGCAAGTTGATTATTGGTTTGACTATGAATTCGAAGGATTTGGGAGTGAGATTATCTCAAGTTGAAGTTTTAAAATACCCACACAGCCTCGTAATGATCATTAACTATGGATAGGCAGCGTCAAACACCTTTGGGTCTGCACATAAATAGTGCCGAATCTAGCATGGATTTGCTGATATCAATTTAACCACAGCACTCATTCTCTTCAAAGTGATTTGATCTACTATATTTCCCAAGCCTCTTTACTATTGCGTGATCATGTCCAATTCGGATAATTGCACTTTGCAGACATGTCCTTTAGATGATGCTTATATCCAGTATCAGCCTAACGTGGCCGGGAACATCTTCTATCTCGCTCTTTTCGCAATCATACTCATTGGACAGATCGGTACGGGTATCGTATTTCGATCTTGGACTTTCATGGTGCCAATGGTCGCGGGCCTTATATTGGAGGTCATAGGATATCTGGGCCGAATTCTCTTACATGATAACCCTTTCAACTTCGATGATTTCTTGATGTGGGTTACTGAGCCTACCACATAATTGAATGTATGCTGACCGAGGCGTGATACATTAGGTATCTGATATGTCTCACCATTGCCCCGGCATTCTTCACGGCTGGAATCTATCTATGCCTCGGCCGTATTGTTACAGTTTACGGCGAAGAGTTCTCACGCTTAAAACCAAGATCCTATACCTACTTGTTCGTGACTTGCGATCTGATTTCTCTGATCTTGCAAGCGGCCGGTGGAGCCATCACTTCAATTGCCGAAGTACAGTCACTTCGCGATACTGGTGTCAACATCATGATCGCTGGACTGGTCTTTCAAGTTGTATCACTAGTATTGTTCTCTATTCTAGCCATTGAGTATGGAGTTCGGGTTTTAAGAGGGAGACGCCTGCATTCCCCTACTCAAGAACGACCGACAAACTGGATGAGGAGATCGTTCTTGCTTGGTAAGTAAACCACCTCGATCTTTTCTATGGGCATTCCACTGACTCGAGTTTCATTATCAGGTTTAACAACTGCCGTTCTAACTATATTGATCCGATCTTCATTCCGAGTGGCCGAGCTCCAGGGTGGATTCCAGAGTAAATTGGCCAACGACGAAATAGCCTTGATGATTCTCGAAGGCGCTATGATTTCAATTGCGTGCATTTGCTTGACCGGTCTACATCCCGCTTTGCTTGTGGGTAAGAACTGGGGGACGCCTAAAGCAATTGCACGAGACTTGGAAATGGAGGATAAATAAGCCACAAAAACAAGAGGGACTGACGCTGGTTATGGACCTGTTAGGTCGGCGGTTTTTCACCCGCCAAGGATAATCATGATGCATACAACAATGCTTTTTGGATATCATTTGAGGTTATGGAATAGCTATGTTAAGTCTTTGTACGGAAGTCACTGATTCGATTGAATGTAATATCTATTCCCATGTTATTCTTAGTTATAAGACTTTTCCCGACCAAGTAAGCACTCACTTTTGCCAATAACGTTCGACGACAGCGATACCTTCTAAGGTCTTTAGCTTAAAGTTTAGAGGGAGCCATCTAAGACTGCGAAAATGTTCCAGTCTGGCTCGAGTTTCCTCGCAAAGAATGGGATCGGTCTAGTATTGGTGCTCATCAGTTTGAGCCGAATTTACAGATGCAGGTGCTATAGAGGAGGTCAATTACAAAGACTAGGCTGGAAAATTCGTATTATAGGAAGCGACAAAGTCGAGGTCGTCTCGAGGCGTAGGTAACGAGGATAGGAGGATAGGAGGTGCAAGGATACCGGAGAGGAGGGAAGGCGAAGCATCTTATAGGCGCTCAAATGGACCGGGCAAAAAGGGAGGGGACTTGAATTCAGCTAAAAGGGAACCATTTTCGGCGTCATTTTAGTCGCCAGTAGAAACGAGTGTAAAAGCCGTCTAAGTCGAGCGTCAATATCAGGACCGGAGGATGACTAAAATTACTGGGCGGGTGCATAATAGTGGTGTTATAGGGCAGCGGTCAAGGGGCGGCTAGACGTCCCAAAGTTACGGGTGGAAAGGCAGCCGTTTCTGGCCTCAAAAGCGGTCATTTTCGGCGTCAATCCCACAGGTCCTCATATTCTAGTTGTAAATATAGGCTCTTCGCCTTGTTCTGGCCACCCGAGTCCCTGGGCTTTGCCTTTACATGAATACTGCAATCGTCTAGGCGAATCATAGAAGAAGCAACTGCCTGACACACGGCATGCAGGCCACAAAATACCATCGTCTTCTGGCAGCAAGGCATGGAATGATAAGAAAGTATACATCGTATAACCTGGAGTACTAGAGATAGAACATGATTACCAAACTGTCTTTATTTCGACTCCCCGGTACTGGTATGATTCTCTGCCATCTCTAATCTATCTCAGCTTGCTGCTTAGCAATCTTGGAGAACCCTGTGATTGTGTGTTGAGTTGAATTGAAACTTATCGCTTACCCAACCCCCTGAAATAAAACAACGCAATCACAAAGGAGATACAAATCATGCCAAAATTCATCCATTGGACCGCTCGCGGTCCTTGCAGTACTTTGTGATTCCAGTCTGAACGGCTGTTGCAATAGCCCAAATCTCGACCCAGGTTATTTGCTGTTTTCAATAACCCAGCACCAAGCGCCTGCTCCTCTGGGGGCAGTGCCTCAGCTACTAGTAGGCTTATCTCTGGCCGGATAATCTCAACGCTTGAGCATGTGGGTATTCGTAGTCTGGAAGAATGGCCCCTAGTTGTCTGGCTATTAGCTAGACCTAGATAGATAGATGCCACTTGTGGAATATATGAGTACATAGCCAGTGCAATGTTTTACGAGGCACTTGCACTTGGTACTTGTATACCATCCACGAGAGGCGGTATGTCTGGTCCGACTGACTCAGGCGATTCGGCCTCAAAAGCCACAAAAGTATCGATGTGAAGTAATTATGAATAGGGAAAATGGTGGCCTCCTTCTTTTGCTATCACGTCAAGTGAACTAGCCAATCACACCATCGGACAACGAATGCCATTGAGCTTCTGGGCAGCCACTGGGGCACTGCCTCCTATCCTCACCATTCAAGATGACAATTCAACCGACTATGAACGCCCCGAGCCATGATATTCAACTGCGTGGCCTAAGTGATAATAGTGTGGCGGTCGATGACAGCAAAGCGAGTGGCATGGAAGGCGGGGAAGGCAATGATACAAGCCTACACGAAGAGAATCCTACGGATTCTGAAATCACTAAAGAATATCCCACTGGCCTGAAGTTCTGGCTCATTATTCTCACCATGGCCGCCTTGATTATCCTAGGTGGGCTTGACACCAATATTGTTGCTACCGCTGTGCCCAGGTGCGAAGTTGAAAGGCGAAGGTTCCAATATTCCATAAGCTAATCGCATTTTGATTTCTAGTATTACCGATGAGTTCCACACCATGGCTGACGTTGGCTGGTACTCATCGGGATTTAGACTCTTACAAGTATGAGGTTTAGACAGAAAATAGTCAAACTCGATTTGCTGAGCAACCTGCTCTTCATTCCAGCGCTGACCAGCCTTTTCATTGCATTTTCTTAAGACTACTCAGATACGCGAAACATTGCCTCAGCGATGGAGGCTCATTCCCCATAGTATCAGAACCATCAAACGACGCTTCCACGACTGGAGAATACTCCACAACCCACTCCCCATTTTTGAACCCTTGTCTTAGAAATACTGTGCTATCATAGGTTGATAACAAACCATACCTCAGTTGAAGATCCAACATATATCCGATGAGTTGCGCAAATAATTTGGCTTTGCGCTGGGCTGTCGGGTACTTTTTGAACTTGTGCTCATTCACCCAGGGGTATTTCAACTCCCACATAGCCTGGATCTGGTCAATGTCGACTGGGTCGGTTGAAATAAGTGCCACATCGGGCGTGAGGGTATATCCGGAATAGACACTAGCAATATTGGCTGATTTGGAATCTCCAAATTTCACTGCGATGTTTTGAGCATTCAACACTGATCCAACAACCTGGCCCACAGATTGCTGGAATCGCCCTTGAAGCCCGTGCTCATCGCCAATGGCAACAAATTCCGTATCAACCCGTCTACTCTGGAGGCTCCATCCTAGCAAGCTCGGGGACCAGTCTTGGTTATTCTCAAATTGCTTCACATCTTGGAAGAAGTTTGGCCAGTTGTGTAAGGTCCCGAGGAATCTTCCCTCATGCAATGCGCTTGACGTGGTGTGATAAGGGCTAATATCTAGCGGTGGCAGGGGCTTTCGTAGAAGGGTACGGCCTGTTATCATTGCCGGCATTTTGAATTGAGCCAATGAATCATTCGTTAGTACGGACCATACACCTGGAATGTAGAGTCTAGAGCCTATATTATAGACGATAACATACTGGAAAGTGTATAGTGCAGGAAAAAAGAAAGAAGAGTGGTGATAATGTGTGGGTGAAACACAGTGGAGTGGGCAGAGGATGTTGTCTGTAACAATGAGGGACTTGTTGTTGTTGATGTCGAGAGCTGACTGTGGATACTGATGCTGTGTTTTGCACAATGTATAAGCTTGTAAGTCGTTCGATGGAGACATTCAGAGGAGATTTGGAACGCGACAGAGAACACCTTTGAAGTCGTTTTTGGTTTAGAAAACACCTATCAAGGGCCTGATGACGAACGGAGATTATCAAATGAGTACAGAGTGCAACTGTGAGACGTGAAGACAGTACACGACGTAGAAGATGAGCGAGATGAAAAGGTAAACAAAAGGTACAAAAGCTAAATAGGCAGGCACCGACTTCCAGCGCTCAGCCTCGACGGCGGCCATTGTTGAATAGCCTCTCTGTCGAGCCCACAATGGCGGAATTGCCGCCAAAAGCAGTGGCCAAGCTACACAGATCATGAATAGTGCATTCAATGTAAAATTCAATTGTATTAGACTCAACAGTACCCCCTATTCTAGAGCACAGTAACGACATTTTCGAAATCGGAGTTATGGTCCACAATCCACTAGAAAAGCCAACAAAAAAGCTCATATGCATGGCACAAAAATATCGATACTTGTTTAAGCGCACCACCTCGGAACACAGGCTCCGTCTTCATTGATCCCAGTATACTCTCAACAAGCTTCCTATACTATAGCTTTGCATCTCTCCTTGGCCTCACCAATCCAAGCGCCGACATTTGACGCTTATCCATTAAAGTGGCCTTTTACCGAAGAGTACTGTTGGATTTCACACACTCTGTAACTTAACTTCTTCAACAACTCAATCCATATCTCACATTGCACCATGCACTTTGACGTCCACCAAGTAGACCTCTCCTAACAAGTACTTCGGGTCTATATCCAATGCTATCTAGAAAGCATTGAAGAGTACTAACAGAGAGAGAGAAGCCACGTGACTCCCAGTCACTAACCTGTTCCCATTCTCAAACATGAGTTTGTTACAAATGCCCACCTTACGGGAATAGCTCAAGTAGTTCATGCAGGGCTCAGTGAGGATTTGATTTAATCAGAGAGTCGGAGTTGGACTGGTCAAGCGATTCTTCATAATTAGAACTAGCAAAATGTATCCCCATTCCTTACTTTGTCATGAGACCTTCGTCTACCATCTCCAGCCCTTTTCATCGTGATAGGTATCAATGGCAGTGATATTAAGGTACCGTTCATCTGACTTGCTGTCCGATACAAGGTCAAACTGCACAAAGAGGTAGTCATCCCATTTTGCATAACCGTCTTGAGGCCATCAGGGATGGCCATTTTGGAGAAAGGAAAAAGAATTGTATTGTTTCCTCAAAGAGAAGAAAAGAGAAGAAAAGAGAAAAAAGAGGGAAATACCAGTAAGGACATGATTAGAATAGTTGCTCGGGAGATAGTTTTCAACCCAAGTTTATAAGGAAAGAGCATATCCCACTCACTGGCTTGGTACTTACTCGAAAGTGGCAACCGCGGCAGACCTCGTAGACGCATAATCAGGAATCTCAACCCTAACCCTGACCTCTCCCACTTCACCTTGAAACAAGAACCCAATATCCCTCGTTGAATCAACCAGCTCCACCTCCCTCCGCACAAACCGGCTCTTATCAAGACCATTGTCCGTTTTCTCAAGCTCAGAGCCAATATCAAGGGGAAGTTCATCCTCACTATCCTCATTCCATTCAACAACGGCCTCATCGCCAACTTGTTTCTCTACAGGATCCCACTCGTCCGTCTCCCAGACCAGCCGAAACCCAAACGCCGGTAGCCCGAAGAGCCGCGACACAAGCGCCTTGACCTGGTACGTATCAAACGAGCCAGGAATCTCCTTGACTTGACTCTTGGATTCGTCATTTCCAGTTGGCAGACGGAAAGCCATCTTGACCAGTCGCGCTGCTACAGACCGCGGATGGATGACTCTGGCGCCTGAAGAATTCGACAAAACCGCTCTTGTGATAGTCGGCTCGACGTATAGCTCGCACAGCTCACTGTACCGCGGGTGTGTGGCGAGAATGGCGGGTTCTTCTTCCTCGGTTGTGGCGGAGAGTTCTTTGCCGATGAGGGATAGGTAGTACATCTCTGCATTGGAGCGGTCTTGGGGAGAGATGGTGCTGTAGTTCAGGGTGGTGAGGGAGGGTGGGAACCGAGATAGGGTTAGCATAAAAGCTTCGTCGACGGTCATTGGTTTGGAGTCGTCAGTGACAGATGGTGGGAGGGGTGGTTGGTCGAAGAGGGGATTGGCAGTGATTCGGAGGGTGGTTAGACCTGGGAAGACAGTAGGGAGTTTGTTGAGGATGGTCCAAGAGGTGATATCATTGCGGGATAGATCGAGAGAGCGGAGAGTCGGCGGGAATTGGAAGTCTAGGTTTGTATCTGTGGTGTTTTGGTTGACGGTGCTGATACCGTTTCCACGGAGGGAGAGGTGCTCCAATTTTGGAAGTGCAGCGAGGTGTCGAAGAGCTGATATTGAGGTGATTTCATTGTGCTCGAGGGTTAATGTTGTGATAGTGCTAGGGAGTGGACACGTTATCTCAGAGAGCTGGTTCGCAGATGCCGTGAGAGACGTCAAGTCAGGGAATCGATATGCAATGGCAGTGATCTATGTCCGAAGTCAGCTTTACTCAATAGTATCTGTGGTGGACAGGGCACATACTTCATCCCAGCTAAGCAGAGTTTGTTCTAAATGTAGCTCAGTAATCCCCTTGAAGATCAGGTCTTCCTCCAACGCTTGAAATCGGTTTCCGCTATTCTCCAATCAGATCAACTATTAAGAATTTGGCCAGATTTGAGACTTACTTCAACCTCAGCCGTTTCAGGTGCTTAAGCTGATCGCAGATATCCCAAACATCGCGCCACCGACTCAATAAGCTTCGACTAAGATCAAGTTCGGTGATCTTAGGACAGGTTTCTCCAATCTTTTGTGCTGCCTCATTATGTGAGACTTGGGCTTGATTGTAGGATGCAAGGACTCCAACAACCCGTAGGCCATCAAGCAAGACAATGCGTAACTCTTGGAGCTCAGCGAGCTGTTTCCGAATTTTGTCGAAGCCAACTTCTTCAACAACCTTGCCGCTAATCTCAATTGCCTTGCCTTGAATTGCTGATCCACTAGCCAAATCATTGTGGGAAAGGCCATGCTCGGTCTCCGAAGCATACTTCTCCCGCAGCGCTTCTAGAAAGCTCAGAGGCTGGTCTGAAGGCCTGGAGGGGCGAACAAAAGACCCCGCCGTGGGATGTTTACTTTTGCCTGGAGTCACGTTAGCAATAATGCAATACAAAAGTGAGATATTCATACATGAGAAGTACCTGACGCCTTTATGCTCTCCTGAATGCTTGCCTCGACTTGCGTCGTCCCATTCAACACCTAACCAGTCGCCGGTGGTCCCTTGAACAGTACCCACATAGCGAATAGTACTTAAGTGACCATCAAATGAACGACGTTGACCTACAAGTGAGACAGTCATAGCTCAAGGCAGACCTAACAGTTCATTTGTTCATGTTTTGGTGAGCGCTACTTCGTACTGTGATCCATGCCCAAACAGCCAGCTTATGTAATCAACAGCATTTCACATGGCCAGACCAGGCTCAACTTGGATTAATAGTTGAAGATCAGGCGCATTTCATGTAATACTAGATAATACACTGCATATATAGTAGGTCAAGCCTAGATGCAGCTAGCAAACTCTTTTTGTAAGCTTTTTAACAAGAAAAAGCCGATAAAGAGTCATATTGTAGCATGTAGAAGAAGGCGGTGTCTCTATCAAGAAGGCGGTATATAAAAAGAATTTCCGGTAGAAAGGTGGGTCGCTGTAGTTACCGCCCGCGCAAAACACCTAGAGATAGTGAGCTTCACCCACTTTCTTTTCTCCAACCTACCGCATCAAGATGGATTACCAGGTACGTACACGCTGACTTAGCCCGCGCGGCTTCATCTCTTTCATCAAGAAAGAGCTTATCGCTGACACATCCCGCAGAACAGAGCTGGTTCCAAGTTCGGCGGCGGCGGCGTCGCCTCCCAATCTGCCACCAACGCCGACCGACGTGAGCGACTTCGCAGAATCGCCATGGAGACTATGGATATCGAGAAAGATCCCTACATCTTCAAGAACAACGTGGGCACTTTCGAATGCCGTCTCTGCCTGACAGTCCACCAGAACGACGGCTCCTACCTCGCCCACACCCAGGGCCGCAAGCACCAGACCAATCTGGAGCGACGCGCTGCCCGCGAGGACCGGGAAGGCAAAAAGGATCAATCCACCTTGCCTGGTGTCGCCGGTGTTCAGGTCAAGAAGCAGCTGATCAAGATCGGCCGACCTGGTTACAAGATCACCAAGATCCGCGACCCATTGACTCGCCAGAACGGAATGTTGTTCCAGCTGCAGTTCCAGGAGATCACTCCGGGCGTCAAGCCCCGTGTGCGCTTCATGTCGGCCTTTGAGCAGCAGGTCGAGACTCCCGACAAGAACTACCAGTACCTGGTGGTTGCCGCCGAACCCTACCAGAACAGTGCGTTCAAGATCCAGGCGAAGGAGATCGATCGCCGCGACGAGAACTACTGGACCTGGTTCGACGAGGACAGCAAGGAGTTCTGGATCCAGATCCTGTTCAAGACTGAGCGTGAGGAGATCTTCAGCGGTGTTCCTGGTCTCGCGCCCTCCCAGACCTGAAATTGTTTTTTTTTCGATATCCTCTTTGCGCATTTTTTTTATCTTTATCTTTATCTTTAACCATGCGCGTCAATCAATCAATCAATCGATGAAAGTTCAATTAACCTGTTGCAGTCTAACTAGTTGCGTATGACTATGTAGGCGCTTCTCCAACCGAAGCAAGAATTCGAAGCCAAACGCCGAGCCGGTATCTCCCCCATAGATGCCGATTTGTAAAATATTGTGGAATCAGCCCCTTCTTATAGCGCATAGAACCTATACATAAAGCCCCATGCTGTAGTGGGGGATTCCAGTATAGGATGACTAAGCGGCCATATGAATGACTCCTAGCAACGCAGACACCTTCAGCCACGTTCTCTTCTTAGTAGTCACCCCATGGTGTTCTCCTCTCTAGCACCCTAATACTCCCAGTGACGACTCTACTCTCACACCTGTTTCGCAGGGAAGACTGTCGGTGCCCCTGCTGTCCCATTGCAGTGTCCCCTCTTCTCGCTTTCTCTTTACTCTCTCCTGCCCCAGTCCTGACTGGTAGTATTGTTATCTTGGCCCATTGATTGGCCTATTCGTCGACTATTGCTGAGTTTCTCGCTTCACAGCTTTATCTATCGTCACTGGCTGGTACCCATCGTGTTCCAAGCCTAATTCTATAGCCGCGAGGCCTATTGGTTCCTCCTCGTCGTCTTCCTCGATATCCACTTGTTGGAACTGCTGGAGGAGACCTGTTCGGCGCATGATTTTGACCACGTAGCGGGTGGTCTGCGGGTTTGATATGATCTTGTTATCGTCCATTTCCTTGATAACAACTGCCCATAGCTGCTCCCTCAGCTTTATACGCGGGATAATATATCCTGGGCATTGTTTAAGGATATGCTTCGGTGTTTGTGATCCCTCATCACAGCTGCACCGGTCTGTCTCTGCTGCCTTGATGTTGAATAAGAAATGCCGAAGCCCGATTCCAACCATGCGCGTGTCGGCCTTCCAGCTTAGAGTTATGACACCAATCAATGGAACTATCAAATTATGAAATATCCTACGATGAACATAGTACCCTCCTAATTTCTGTGTTGATATTCGCCTAACATACTTGATGTGGTCTTTTTTGTCTCTTTAGATATCCATACCTGCTGCTGGAGCTCGATCCCTCCATTCTCTACTACCTCCATGCCCTCCACCCCATATTTAATGCCGGAACAGTCCCTATCACCGTACCAAATATGATTGAGAAGAGGCTAAGACTATCAGGGATGACCATGATGTGAAAAAAGAAAGATTTGTGATTGATGTTTATTCAACGTGAAGAAAAGAGAAAATATTTATGGTAAATTCGATGTTGACGATGGCCCTCCTACCTCGCCAACACGCCTCCATGGTCCTCGCGCGGCGCGTCGCTCCAGATTCGTCTGGTGCTTTCGACCCTGGGTGTCCAGGTCAAAAAGCAACTCATCAAGATTGGCTGACCCGGATACAAAATCACCAAAACCCGCGACGAATTAGCCCGTGGAGGCGTTGACGGAAGAGTTCAAGCTAGCTTAGATGAATGGTAAATCTTCGTCCTTTTGTGGCTGTTGCGCGTACTGCCAGTTCGTTCGGCATGGCAATAAGCCCACTTGCTTTGAGAACGCGTCCAATACATGCAGAACGATGATGATGCTAATTGTAATGGTGTACGTGAGAAGAAGAGAAGAGAGGAAGATAGAAGAGCCAATACATAGTCTGCGTAGTTTCTATGATTGGAGGGAGTAGTTGCTCAGGGGGATGGTCAAGACATCTGAAGAGACATCTAAAGAGATCGGGACTAGGGGGTTTCTGTCGACTTCACATATGTATACACTATCCTTACCTTATGCTTATTATATAGTTATATAACACTGACGATGAACTCATCCTTCTCCGCAGGCTCAGTGACTAGTCATTGTCAAGTAAAGCTAAGATGAGCTTAAATGTATACTACATACTTATCTTTAGTCCAAAATTATACCGCTACTATCTTTTAAGCTAAGTTATAAGTGAAGCAAAGCGGAAAACGCAGTACTACTTGTCCCCTCTCCATGATAGAGGATTAAAAGTCGGATCAACACCAAATCGTGGCTGTAGGTATGCGGTATGCCGCCCACGGCCAGACTAGCTCGGGGGATCTAGTCTTAGGACAGGTAGCTTAATTGAATATGTTTGACGTTTGCTAGTTTACAGAAGTGGCCAGCTATATAAAGCAGGCCATCGTCTGTGATCTGGAACGACTGATGGATGGATATGATTGACCCGGTTCGCCGACTCGCAGGCTTCTGAAACCAGTCATAGCATTGGGCAACAAAGTCATTGTATACGGCTGAGGCACTAACGTCCAATGTAGTCTTCTCTGTTTTAGAGACTCAAAACGCATTCGACTGTGAACCTGCCGAGTATATGAAAAAACGGTGCATTGCAACAAGGGCAGACATAGTCAGAAAAGACAAGTGCATTTTATTTTTAGGGTAATATCCTGACTATCCTAAATCAGCTGGGTCTATCCGAAGATGTGACAAGTAGTGTCGTCTTGAAAGGGATGCAAGGCGTTAGATACATATGTATCAACAAGTGAAACCGAAGATGGGTCATAATTCGGGAAAACAACATCGCGCTGATATGCTCAATGAGAATGAGTAACGAGGTGAAAACAAAGCCGAGTTTTTTTCTGACCGACAAAAGAGTACCATTGAGAAACAAAGGATGCAAGCCCTGCATGCTTCCCTTGTCCCCGGGAATCGTTTCGATCAGTCTCGGAACACAACAAACAATAAACCTAAGTGGTTTCGAAGGCATTGAATGCCTTATAGGTGTAGCCGATGAATGGCAAACTCATCTCGGCTTCCTGTGAATCCGGCATGGCACGGGCCTGGGCGCGGTGGATCGCGCTAGTGTCCTCCTGAGGAATCTCATCAATCGGGAAGTACGACACATCAATGTTCGAGCTGAGACGCGGCTCGAAGGGAGCACGGATGCTGCGCAGTTGATCCCAAACAACACCCCTGAAGAATGGGTGGCTTTTGATCTGTGTCGCGCCTCCGTGCTGACCACCTTCGCTGCCAATACGGTGATCCGGGTCACACAAGAAACTAGACAATTCAGTTAGCGGTTGATCCTATTGAATTTGGATGCATAGATAAGAGCTCACCTTCGGATCAGCGCCTCGGAGTCACGGCCAAGAACCAGTTCATCGGGGAAGTACAAGCACTCTCTCCAGTTCACGATTTTCCGGTAAGTGTCATTTGTGTCTTCAGCACAGAACGGAGGCCAGCCCACGAGACATTCAAACATGATGGCACCAACAGACCACCAATCGCAGAGATAAGTGTAGCCTTGGCCGTTGAAAATCTCAGGAGCAATATAATCAGGAGTTCCGACAGTCGAATAGGCCATGGCACGACGTGACTTTCGCCAGGTGTTGATCTGACCACGGTTGGACACTGTCAGGTTGATGGCATCATTGAAGTATCCAGAGTTGCGGTTCCGATCCTTGGAGGTAGAGTTCTTGAGGAGGTTTTGGTAGTAAGCGTTGTCATGAGTCTTCTTGCCTCCGGTTGACAGACCGAAGTCAGTAAGCTTGACGTGTCCACCGCGATCAAGCAAGATGTTGTCAGGTTTGATATCACTGCCAAAGAAACATTCATTAGTATGGATTGTCTTGTATGTTGGCGTGTGCACTTGATTCTTCATCGGAGAGAGAGAGAGAAAAATGCATATTGCCAATGTCCAACTCGCGACCAAAAGGCACTTACCGATGGAGGAAACCAAGCTTGTGTACGGCTTCAATTGCCATCACGACCTCGGCCATGTAGAACCGTGTAATGTCCTCAGAGAAGATCTCGTACTTGATCAACATGGTCATCAAATCACCACCAGGCAAAAACTCCATCAGTAGGTAAAGGTACGCAGCATCCTGGAACGATGCGTGAAGCTTCACAAGCCAAGGGTTGTCCTTTGAATCAGCCAGAATATCACGCTCGGCACGGACGTGGGCTAATTGATCCTTCTTGAACATTTCGGTCTTGATCAACGACTTGAGGGCGTAAATCTTGCCATCAGTCTTGCGCTGCACCAGCTTGACCTCACCGAAAGCACCCTTTCCGATAATCTTGATGGTCTGGAAGTTTGCCGGTGTCTCCTTTGTGCGCAGGAACCGAAGGAAATCGGACTCTCGCTTGGAAATCACGTCGGCATCCTGTCGCTTCTTTTCGATGGGGATATTGGGGTCACGGAGGGTTTTATCGAGTTCCGCCGATCTATAGGGGCGAACATCATAGATATAAGTCACAACTCGGAAACAATATTTCAAGGATTCCATTGGGGACATGGATACTTACCGCATGTTACGGTCACGGGCCCGTTCAATATTCTCGTGGAAGAACACAGTCACCAACTCCTTTGCTGCCTTGCCTCGCTTGTGGGCGTTCTCGGAGTACCGATCGGGGAAGCGTTGCAACTCTTCGCTCTCGGGGGGTGGGCGAGGGCTGCGAGGCACCGGGGGGATCAGGTGTGATGCTTGGGCCTGTGTTTGAGCCGGGGAGCCACCAGCGGTGCGGGGCCGCTGGGCTGGGGAACCAGCCCGATTATTGAAAAACCCTGCACGGTTTGAGTTAAGATCCTGATTAGAGAATTGCTGGATCAGACCGTTGGTGCCGTCAGGGTAGCCCGGGCGCGCTTGGTAGGCGGGCTGGGGAGATTGCAACGCTTGCTGTTGCGCGTACTGCTGTTGCTGTTGCTGCTGTTGCTGGGCATACTGCGGCTGTACCTGTTGGGGTGGGTAATTGTTGGGCAGGAAATAACCCGGGGCGTAAGCGGGATTGGAGGGGTCGACGTATTCCTGGGCCCCCTGAGTCTGATAGATGGGCTGGGGGAAGGCGGAGGGGGTAGTGGGATAGGCGCGGTTGTTGGCATTGTAGTTACGGTCATAGCCGTAATTCATATTGTTGCGGTTGTTATTGTTGGGATCCATCTTGACTCGAACTCCCAAGGGACTTTTC